AGACAAAAACAACACGATCATTTTAACGAATGCAGAAAAAGCATCTGACAAACTTCAACATCCTTTTGTGATAAAAACTCTCAACAAATTAATTATACAAGGTATGTACCGCAACATAATAAAAGCCATATATGATAAGGCCACAACTAATATACCCAATGGCGAAAAGTTAAAAGCATTTCCTCTAAGATCAGGAACAAGACTCTTGCCACTTCTATTTAACATAGCACTGGAAGTTCTAGTCAAAGCAATTAGGCAAGAGAAAGAAATGAAAGGCATACAAATTGGAAAAGAAGAAGTAAAATTGTCTCTTTTCCCAGATTACATGATATTATACATAGAAGATCTTAAATATGCCACCAAAAAGTTGTTAGAACTAATAAATAAACTCAGGGAACTGCAGCACACAAAGTCAACATACAAAAAAGCAGTTATATTTCTATACACTATTGAAGATGATCTACCCAAAAAAGAAAGAAAGCAATCCCATTTAAAACAACATCAGAAAGAATAAAACACTTAAGAATAAACTTAACCCAAGAGGTGAAAGAGCTGTATATTGAAAACTATCAAACCATAATGAACAAAAATGAAGATATAAATGTCAAGATATCCTATGTTCATGAATTGGAAGAATTAATGTTGTTAAAATATCCATACTACCCAAAGCAATCCACAGATTCAATTCTAATGGCATTTTTCACAGACACAGAAAAAATAAACAATTGCAAAATTTGTATGGAATCACAAAAGACTCTGAATAGCCAAAGTAGGTGTACAACCAAAGCAAATGAAATCAGCAATTGCAAAGATACCTGCACTCCCATGTTCATTGCAGGATTTATTCACAATAGCCAAAACATGAAAACAACCTAAGTGTCTAACCTAAGTGTCTGCCAACAGATCAATGGATGAAGAAATTGTGGTGTATACACACACACACACACACACACACACACACACACACACACACACAAAAAAGGGTTATTATTCAACCATAAAAAAAGAAAGAAATCCTGTTATTTGCAACAACATGGATAACCCTCAAGGGTATTATGCTAAGTAAAGTAAGTCAGATCTGTATGTGGAATCTTAAGAAGTTGAACTTACTGGACTAGAGAATAGAATGGCAGTTACCAGGGGCAAAGGTGAAGGAAAGGGGAGAGGTTGGGAGGTTGGCCAAAGGGCACAAACTTTCAATGATAAGATAGGTAAGTTCAAGGGATACAATACACAGCATGGTGAAGTGATACATATAAACTAATTTGATTCTGGTAATCATTCCACAAAATATATGTATATCAAATCATCACACTGTACACCTTAAAATCAAACAATTTCATTTGTCAGTTATACCTCCATAAAGCTGGGGAAAAAAAGAAAAAAAAAATACATAAACCCAGAGGGTCTTATAGCTACCTGTTCCCCAGGTACATCTTGAATTTACCATTCCCTAGAACTTCTTAATAGCTAAAATCATAAATACAGCAAGTTTTTTTCTGAGTACAACCTCCTATAATTACAGTTTCGATTTCCTTACTGATCTACTTCAGTTCTTACAGGTAAAGTTACCTACCTTAGAAGACGTTTAGTGAGAATTAAATGAAATAATGTGTATCAACAGCTTAGCACAGTACCTGATACACAGTAAGTCCTCAAGAAATCATAGACAAATTTTGATTTTATGTATTCTATTACAAACAAATTATCTGCCAATATCCAAATTGTCCTCAAACTCACTCTCAACCTCTGGCATTAAATGAAACTTGGCTTTTACTTGACACTACTATTATATATTCCTCCCAATCCACTTAATTGAAGGCCAGACCTCCAGCAATTCCCCCTGATTTCAGAAGATCTGAGAGATCAGCATAGTCCTTGCTTCTCAAGCACCATGATCTCCACAAATCTTAGCCATTTCTAACACAATTACCCTACCTTGCAATTATTAGAAATTGTTTCACCTTCGAGATCCTAAATGCTTGAAATTTCCCTCATTAAAATAGAATGCTCTTTCAATTCTCCTACTCTTTTTGAACTAGATCTTCTTTCTCACTATGGCCATAAATCTTCTAGTACCCTAGTCCGTCCATCACTTCAATCTTCTTTGTTTGTCTCCTTATCCAGAGTAGATGACTATTATTTGGATAAATTCCCTAGATCTTCTAACATTCTCACCTTGACAACACTCAGCACTTGAGCAACCCACTGTCTCCTCTTCCCCTATGCTGTGAGCACTGCTGGAGAAAATCACTACTAGAGCCAACATTAGCCGGGCCCTTACTTCTCAGCAATTATTAATATTTTATTCAATGTCTACTGATACTTTACTGAATTCCTACAACACCTTTTCCAAGCCTATCCCATTCTTAAACTCCTAAAGGCACATTTTACTCTCTCAGCAGATGACCTTACACCCAAAAGATACAGACCTCCAATGTGAGCTCCCTCCTTGACCTCCTTCGTTCTTCAAAATCACTTTGTATCTTCACCTTCTATCTTGACCAACTCTGGCCTTTGAAGCAAAGTGTGTCTCCTCTTTGCCAAGGTTAATCCCTCCACTTGTTCTCTTGATTTTACCACTGTCTTACAAAGTATGGTTAAGAGTCCAGGTTCAGGACTTAAACCATGTGATTTCAGATCCAGCTCTACCACTTTACTCCTGTATAACCTCGGAGTTACTCAACCTCTTTAAGCTTCTGTTTCCCTACCTGCAAAAAGTGATTAATAACAGTTCCTACTCATAAGGCCAATGTGAAACATAAATGAGAGAATCCACATAAAGTGCTTAGCAAAATTCCTAGCACGTAGTCAATATTCAATAACATAATAGCTGTAAATACTATTACCTTTCCCTCTAGATACTTCCTGGTACATTTTCCCTTGTCTCCAAAGTAGCTCAAGTCTTCTGTCTCCTGTTTTGTTTTTAGTTTTTCTTTTTTTTTTTAATTAAAAGACACCTTTTCTGGAATTTGCTACCCTCATTCCAAGATTTTGTTCCTTTCTTTCACCACCAAAGAGTAATGTATAACTCCTTTCCAGAGGAAGCATGGAGGAGTGGAAAGACTTTGGGGATAAATATACTGTTTGAACCTAGTTCTTCCACTTAGTGGTTGTATGGCCTGGAGCAAGCAGTTTTTCTAATCCTCCGTTTTTTCATCTGTAAAATGGATATATTACCCATTTCTTAGGGTCATCAAGAGGATTAAACTAAAATAATATATGTAAATCATCTGGCCAAAGTAGGTGCTAAATGAATGCTAGTTCTCCATCCCTTATTCTTTTCTTAACCCCTTACAATCTTGGTTGTTCCTCTACCACTCTATTTATCTCTTTAGCTCACTTCAGCTCTTATTAGCATGGTTTTGAATAATCTGACTCCTCTAAACCTTAATTTTCATCTGTAAAATGGTAATAATACCCACCACATAAAGCTGTCTTGAGAATTAGTGAATTAACACATGTAACGTGTTTTAGCATAGTGCCTGGCCTGGAGTAAGCACTTAATAAATGATAACTGCAGCAACTTATTAACGGTGAAATCAAAGGACTGTTCAACTCTCTTCTCTAAGTTTCAATGACAACACACTATTCTGGTTTGCTTTTTGCCACTGACCATTCCTTCTGTCTGTGGACCTTCTCCATGAAGCCTTTCTTTACTCTCTTCAAACCAAGTGTGAGCTCTCTCTCTTTTTGAGCCTCAGAGCACTCTGAACTTCTCTTGAGGTAAGAAACTCCCCTTACTCTTAATCACAATCATTTGTGTTATATGTGTTATATCTCCACCACTTAATCTCTTTTGTCCTCATTGCCTGGCACTTTATTCATGTAGAACATGTTGACTACCTAATATACATCAGACTTGTGCCAGGTACTACGGATACAAAATATAATTACTGTCTTCAAGGAACTTAAAGTTTAGGTAGCTGGAACAGACAAGTAAGTAGTCTGTATGTGCAGTGGAATAAATGCTTGGTTAAGAGTGTGCCCAGAGTCCTCTGGGAGCACAAACAAGTGTTATTTAAAATAGACTGGCGAGGACCGGGCGCGGTGGCTCACGCCTGTAATCCCAGTACTTTGAGAGGCCCAGGAGGGTGTATCATGAGGTCAGGAGTTCGAGACCTGCCTGACCAACATGGTGAAACTCCGTCTCTACTAAAAAATAAAAAAATTAGCCGGGCATGGTGGCGCGCGCCTGTAGTCCCGGCTACTCAGGAGGCTGTGGCAGGGAATCACTTGAACCCGGGGGAGCGGGGGGCGGGGAGGTTGCAGTGAGCCGAGATCGCGCCACTGCACTCAAGTCTGGGAGACAGAGCAAGACTCTGTCTCAAAAATAAAAAGTAAAATAAAATAGACTGGGGAGATCAAGGACACTGTTAGGCATTTTTGTGTTTTGCCTATGGGGAGGCTATACACAAATATCTGTTGAATTAAAGAATGAACTATAAATGCAACTAGATAAGCATGGGAAAAGGCACTTTAGGCCCAGAGAAAGAGCACGTAAAAAAGCAAGGAGGGGTCAAGCAAGTAGCTCAGCATCGACAGGAGGAGGGTTCCTGAGTGACAAGAGATAAGGCTGGAAAGTCTAGGTAAAATCAGGTGTTCTAGACATAAGAGTATGACCTGACCCCAGAGGGGAGATGATGACATGCCCATACAGTTTTGTAAATGGGAGGGTGGGATGGGGGTGGGGAGGCAAAAAATCAAATTTGCATTTTGGTAGATGTACTCTGGCAACACAGAAAACGGATTACATGAGAGCCAGGCTTGAGGCAGCAAGTTCAGGTAGGAGGTTGTTGAAAGAACTCAGATGAAGTATGAGAACCAGAACTGCAGACGCTGCCGACTTAAACTTCAGCGAAACTGAATTATTCATATTGTATCTCCTGCAAGCCTAACAGAATATTTTACACTTAAAACCCGCTACGTAAATACCTGTAGACTACCATTATTAAACACTACTTAGGGAACTGCAGCAACCAGCCAGCTGAGTCACTCACTGTACACGGATTCCCAAGTAAAGGCACCTTTTCCAAGCGTAAAACTCGAAAGAAACAGGTTATTCGAGCACAGAGAGCAACAACACTACTTGCAAACCAGCGCACTGCTGAGAGACTATGGGACCTCTCTATCCTGGTCAGTTTCACCCCAAATGTTTCAACAAAGTCCTTCCATAGGGTCATGAGGCCTTGCCCTGTGCGCCGGGACAAATGCCCAGGATTTTTTTCTCTCTCTCTTTATTGCAGCTCAAGACCGAAACATCTACTGCGGCTCGTCGCCTGGCCAACCATTTTCACCCAGCCGTTTCCCAGTTTTATATTGTGCCACTGTGTAAATCGACAACCGAAGGGGATTGAGGAAGCAGTGTCCCAGGCTGATAAAACCCTAATGGGGAAAGGCAGGTGTCTTGAGGCTTCAAACAATAAAGATTGTAATTATGTCAAAACCCACCTCCACCCCGCCCCTTGCTCCGGGGCTCCTTCAGAAGTTAGTAGGATCCCTTTTACAGTTACCGGGATGCTATCGGCAACCACAGAAATTAAGCAAGTTCGTTTTCGCTTACCCTGATGGCCGCCATGTCTACGACCCTTTCCGCCAAGGTTTTCAGACGGAGAGCGGAGAGGGACAAATCAGTTCGACTAGGCTCCCCTTCCGACAGCCCCGCCCCGTTACGCCCGTTGCCTGCCAGTTACCGCCTTTTCTCCGCCCTCCTCCGGCGGCCGTGGCAACTGCTGTTGCCTGCCAGTTACCGCCTTTTCTCCGCCCTCCTCCAGCGGCCTTGGCAACTGCTGCAGTTTTGGTCGGCTGTCTTCCGGAGAAACTGTTCACCCTTGTGGTTGCCCCTCCCGGTCCCAGATAAAGCCTTTCAGAATATTATCCATAGTCTAGGTGGGAGTTATTTTCCTGGGTGCAGAACTTTTAATTATTTTGTTTCAGGCATATGTGATATGTCTACATAAGGACTTAATACCCAAGTGTAGCTGCTTTAATAATTAATTATATAGTCAGAAAAAGAAGTTATTACCTCTGCGAAACATGAGTAAGTTCATTCATTCTAAAACTATGTCACGGAGAGCTTACTCTATGCCAGGCAGTTGTTCGGGGCACAGACAAAACATAGTGGCTTCCTCATAGAGCTTATGATTCCAGGAGTAAAAGAGACAAATGCTATGAAGGAAAATAAAACTGTGGGAATGAGGTGGGAGTTTACTGGTTTATATAAATGAGAGAAAGACTCTCTGATAAGCTCATTTGATAAAAGTCCTGAAGGAATTTAGAGAAGAGGGTTGCATACGGAAGGAACAGCAATGAAAAAGGCCAGTGAGGCTGGAGCAATAATTTCAGAGGTAGCGAAGTAATGCAGCGTAAGGGCTTTCGTGCTGCCAAAATAAATTTGGATTTTATGCTGAATAAGATGGGAAATCATTGCAGGATTTTGAGCAAAGGTGTGATGTGATCTAATTTACATTTTTAAAGGATGATTTTGGTACTATCAGGAGAATATACTAAGGGTATGTTGCCGTATTCACAACAGGAGCAAGGTCTTCCGTAGGCCTCCATGAAGGATTCTGAGGAAAGAGGATGCTCATAATATGCCCATTAACAGTCCCAATATTAATTCATGTATTCATTCATTCAGTCAACAAATATTTATTAAGTACAAACTATATACTAGGCATTAGTTGATACCTATCACATTTCATACCGAAAACAGATCCTTTTTTAACAGAACTATCCTGTAAATGACAAAATTGTTTTAAGAAATAATGATGAAATGAAACTAATAATACTGGCTGCAAAAGAAACATTGAATGACTATTTTCTTTTATTGAACTTAATATAAACATATACATACATATATATGCTAATATAAAAATAAAATGCAAAATAAATAGTACAGAACCAAAAAGGAAAAAAATGGATCAAGGTGTTTTAATTGCATTAATGTATTTTTCAAAGGAAAAAAACTTATATCTACATGGTGGTCTACCACAGGAATGAATAATAATATTACAGTTTCTGGTTTTGAGCCTTAACTTCTGTATATTTGTCAATAACTTCATCCAAATTTAACATTTCTGCATATTAAATAAATAGTATACCTAGATTTGTCAAGCTAACTTCGTTCGTAGCTGATTGATGCACATGTTTTATTGATTTTAATATGTCAGGTTTATTTCACAATAATCAACAGGCAAATAGGAAAAGTCTTAAAATTGTGAATAAGCTTAGAATAAATTTATAACAATTTTATTTCCCAAAAATTTCAGGAATTTCAATAACACCCATGTTTTGTTGTTGTAGTTGTTGTTGCTTCTTTTCCAACTTTAACTTTTATTTTGGGTTTGGGTACGTGTGCAGATTTGTTATACAGGAAAATTGCATGTCAAGTGGGTTTGACATACAGATTATTTCCTCAGCCAGGTAATAAGCATAGCACTTGATAGGTAGTTTTTCAATTCCTTCCACCTTCCACCATTAAGTAGGCACCAGTGTCTATTGTTTCCATCTTTGTGTCTATGCATACTCATCATTTAGTTCCCACTTATAAGTCAGAACCTGCAGTATTTGGTTTCCTGTTCCTGCATTAGTTCCCTGAGGATGACGGCCTCCAGCTCCACCCATGGTGCTGCCAAGGATATGATCTCATTCTTTTTTATGTTTTTTATGGCTGCATAGTATTCCATGGTGTATATGTATCACATTTTCTTTAGCCAGTCTACTGCTGATGGTCGTTCCGGTTGAGTCAATGTCTTTGCTAGTGAGAATAGTGCTATGATGAACAGACCCATGCGTGTGTCTTTATAGTAGAATGACTTATATTACTTTGGGTACATACCCAATAATGGACTCCCTATTCAATAAATGGTGCTGGGAAAACTGGCAAGCCATAGGCAGAAGACTGAAACTGGACCCCTTCCTTATACCATAATAAAAGATTAACTCAAGATGGATTAAAGACTTAAATGTAGAACCCAAAACTATAAAAACCCTTTAAGACAACCTAGGCAATACCATTCTGGACACAGGAACCAGCAAAGATTTCGTGATGAAGATACCAAAACCATTGCAACAAAAGCAAAAACTGACAAATGGGATCTAATAAAACTAAAGAACTTCTGCACAGCAAAAGAAACTATCAATAAACAGCATACAGAATGGGAGAAAATAATATCCAGCTTCTGTAAGGAACTTAAACAAATTTACAGGAAAATCAAACAATCCCATTAAAAAGTGGGCAAAGGACATGAAAATACACTTCTCAAAAGAAGACATACATGCAGCCAACAATCATATGAAAAACAGCTCAATATCAGTGATCATTAGAGAAATGTAAATCAAAACCACAATGAGATACCATCTCACACCAGTCAGAATGGCTATTATTAAAAAGTCAAAAAATAACAGATGCTGGTGAGGTTGCAGAGAAAAGGGTACACTAATACACTGTTGCTGGGAGTGTAAATTAGTTCAACAATTATGGAAAGCAGTGTGGCAATTCCTTAAAGAGCTAGAAACAAAAATACCATTCAACTCAGCAATCCCATTACTGAGTAAAAACACAAAAGAATATAAATTGTTCTATCATGAAGACACATGCACACATATGTTTATTGCAGCACTATTCCCAATAACAAAGACATGGAATCAACTTAAATGTACAATCACTGTGGACTGGGTAAAGAAAATATGGTACATGTATGCCATGAAATACTACACAGCCAAAAAAAGAATGACATCATGTCCTTTGAAGCAACAAGGATGGAGCTGGAGGCCTTTATTCTTAAACTAATGCAGGAACAGAAAACCAAATATCACATGCTCTCACTTATAAGTGGGAGCTAAATGATGAGAGCATGTGAACACAAAGAGGGGAACAACAGACATTGGGGCCCACTTGAGGGTAGAGGGTGGGAGGAAGGAGAAGTTCAGAAAAATAACTATTTGGTGCTAGGCTTAGTACCTGGGTGATGAAATAATCTGTACAACAAACCCGTATAACACAACTTTACCTATATAACAAATCTGCACATGTACCTCAGAACGTAAAAGTTTTTTTAAAAAGTAAATAAATAAAAACAATATTAACTTTTTCAATCCCAAAAATAGAAAAAAATTCATAATTCCCTTACACTCATCTTTTCCTATATGAACAATCAAGAATAAATCAGTGGAATGCATTCAATGCTTTTATAAACTTATCCACAAATATGCAAGCTTATGATTGGCATGTTTTTTTCAACTAAATGCTTTGACTTTACATAAGAATGATCTATAGGACACGGAACTATTGCGTATGAAAATAAAAAGAAGTATGATTCTCAGAATATGTATATGTGATGTCACAATTAGTGGTAGAAATATTTAAAAAGTCAGAAAAAATATATATTGGGCTTGAGGTAATGAACAACACAGACACAATCCCTGGTTTTAGGGAGCTTAAGTATATTTTGACTAAGACAGTAAATAAATTAAGAGTATTTTAAATGCTGATAAGTACTATAGAGAGTGATTATAGTATTTAGTCTCTGGTTTGGGGTGAAAGTTACTTTAGATTGGGAATACCTCTTGAAGGAGCAGATGTTTCAGCAGAGTCTTGAGTAAAAAGTGGGTCTACTCATGTTAATATCTGAGCACTCCAAGCAGAAGGAACAACTAATGCAAAGACTGTTAGGTGAGAATAAACTTACTGGAGCACCATGAGTAAGGCAGAAAGTGATAGAAGAGTCTGGCAGGAACCAGATCTATATAAAGAATTTGGATTTTCTTTTAGCTTATTTATTCTTAAATATTATTTGATTTATTATTGTAAGTTTACCAATTGTCCACTAATTGCTTTGGGCACAAAAGGCAGTTTTGTATAATGGAGAGTATTAGCATCGAAATAAGATCTTGGCCTCTAAAGGCAGAAGCTTGAAGGAGTTCAGCTAGACCAGATGTTCCAAAAGTTAGTGTACTTGGGAATCACTTGGATAATTTTATAAAATGAGAATTCCTGGATCTCACCCTTGGCTATTGGTATTTATTAGTTCTGATGTAGGGGCATGTCTGAAGAGTACCCCAAGTGTTTCTAATATGGGCATTACTTGGGCCACATATTGAGAAACAAATCAAGTGCACTTATATGGACTACATAACTTACAATGGTATGTTATTTCTAGCTCTGACATCCTAGGATCAT